TATCTCTTTTCTCCAACTGTAAATTACAATAATATTGAAGTGCTTCAGGTTCTCTACATATGGTATTACCATTCACTACTGACTTTTGAGATCACCTCCTTTAAGAAGACTTCTATGAACTCCCTGGAGAGGCTTCCCTCCTGGGTGTTTCTGTCATACCCTGTGTATCACCATAACATGTGTTGTCTCTCTCCCTCACCTAGTTGGTAGAGCCTTTGGAACAGGGTATGCGTATTTATATCCCAGCAGCTAGCACATAATATGTCCTCAATAAATATTTAGTTGACTCAAATACCTCCTGCTTGCTTATGGCGTATCAAGTCTGCACTCTTCTGGCTGACTGTATGTACATCCTCCCTAACTAAGATAAGCCAGCCTACTGATTCAATCTTGCTTCTTTTTACTTATTAGCACAAGTCTGTTACATGTCCATTTCCTCTTTTGTTCTTCAGTAGGTCTTTCATTTCCCCCTCTTTTGTAATATAGCTTAGTGGTTGGGCTCTGGAAACTAGATTCAATGGAGTTGGGTTCAAATCCCAGTATAAGGGAAGACCAGTTACTTTAACCTCTCTGAGCCACAATTTCTCATCTGTAAAACCAGGGCATATATAACAACACCTATTCTTATGGCAGTTGTGAGGATTAATTGAGAAAATGCATGTAAAGTATGTAGACTAGTCTCCTGCCAGGAAGTGAGTACTCAGAGAAGGCTAGGTATTATTATGCAACATTATTCACTTAACATTGAGTCCCTACCTAACAGGTGTCACATGCTGTGCTGAGGTAAATAAAGACATATAAGGCACTCTCCTTGGCCTCAAACAGTTCTCAGTCTAGTGCAGTGGTTCTCAACCTTCCTAATGCCGCGACCCTTTAATACAGTTCCTCATGTTGTGGTGACCCCCAACCATAAAATTATTTTTTTTACATATATTTTATTGATTTTTTACAGAGAGGAAGGGAGAGGGATAGAGAGTTAGAAAAATCGATGAAAGAGAAACATCAATCAGCTGCCTCCTGCACACCCCCTATTGGGGATGTGCCCGCAACCAAGGTACATGCCCTTGACTGGAATCGAACCTGGGACCCTTCAGTCCACAGGCCAACGCTCTATCCACTGAGCCAAACCGGTTAGGGCCATAAAATTATTTTCGTTGCTACTTCATAACTGTAATTTTGCTACTGTTATGAATCGTAATGTAAATATCTGATATGCAGGATGTATTTTCATTGTTACAAATTGAACATAATTAAAGCATAGTGATTAATCACAAAAACAATATGTAATTATATATGTGTTTTCCAATGGTCTTAGGTGACCCCTGTGAAAGGGTTGTTTGACCCCCAAAGGGGTCTCGACCCACAGGTTGAGAACCGCTGCCTTAAGGGCAAAAACCCCTGTGTCTTGATCTTTTAATTCCCGGGACCTAGCATTCAGGTAGCACACAATGAATGTGGAAAAAAAGAAGGAAGGGACTTCTGCAAAGTCACATAGCTATTCAGTAGAAGAGGTAAGATTCAAATCCAGATCTCCAGAGTGTTTTAAGTGCTGTACCACATTTCTCAGAGTTGGCTATGGAAATAAGAATTTAAATCTTCCATTTAATGCAAGCTTCATTATATTGGATTTTTTTCCTTTCATGGCTTAATGAAACCTCTTGACAGTATCAGGTAAATTCAAATATCAAAAATACTTAGTAAAGATAGTTTGAACACTTATGGATTAAGTAATACATAAATTTTTGGCAAATTACACTATACACAATTGATCTTATCTAGTGTTAATTGCTGGCATTACAGATACAAATGTCAGTAGAGTATTACTCATTCAAGATAAAACAGCAGTAGACCCACTAAAGCCAACCAAAGAATGCCTAAACTGCCAACCAAGCACCTCAATTCAGATAGGCAGGAAAAGGTCTACTTTTAACATTTCTTTCATGAATCATACAATTATCCAAGATAACAAATCTGTGTTAAGATCCTTATGGAGCAAAAGAACATCTATCATCTCTACCAGTGAGTCACATCAGGAAATATTTGAAAGGTCATCTCATTTCTATGGTCATGTGTAGATTAATTAAAATGCTTTCTACTATTCTGGACTCTAGTTTTTCCCCATCCCAACTCTATATACTGTTGCCCAGTTCATCTTAGCTGTGTGACCTTGGGCAAGTCACTTAACTTCTCAGGGTCTGTTTCCTCAACTGCTAAATGAGGGGGCTGTGCTAGATTAGTGCTTTTTAAACTGTTACTTAGAGCCCTTGAGTCCCTCAGACACCCAGCCGTGGTGTTGTGGGTGCTACTAAGCAGGTTAGGGAAAAGATGGGCTGAGTTGGCATGGCAGGGGCATCCATCTCCAGCACAGCAGCCCTTTTAGAAATCATGGCCTATCTAAAACTTGGTTTGAAAAAAGAGTTCTGCTACAACAAAAAGTTTAAGTATAATTACACTTACATGATTTCTAATGGTCCTTCCAGTTCTCCTAAACCAGGGGTCCTCAAACTTTTTAAACAGGGGGCCAGTTCACTGTCCCTCAGACCGTTGGAGGGCCGGACTATAGTTTAAAAAAAACCTATGAACAAATTCCTATGCACACTGCACATATCTTATTTTGAAGCAAAAAAACAAAACGGGAACAAATACAATATTTGTATTTGCATGTGGCCCACGGGCCGTAGTTTGAGGACCCCTGTCCTAAACTAAGATTTTATAAAAGTCTTCTATATTGCCCTAGCTGGTTTGGCTCAGTGGATAGAGCATCAGCCTGTGGACTGAAGGGTCTCGGGTTCGATTCTGGTCAAGGGCCCATCCCTGGGTTGTGGGCTCGATCCCCAGTGTGGGGTGTACAGGAGGCAGCCGATCATTGATTCTCTCTCATCATTGTTTCTCTCTCTCCCTCTCCTTTCTTCTCTGAAATCAATAAAAATATATTTAAAATTTAAAAAAATCTATACATGATAGGGATTTAATGTGATAAAGTGTTTACATACAGAAACACAATAAACAACTAATTTATATTATTTTTTATTTATTAATCTTGGTAACTATAATAATAAAAGCATAATATGCTAATTAGACCAGACAGCCGAATGACTTTCCAGATGTCTTTCTGGACGACCTTCTGGACGAAGCCACAAGGGCCGAGGCAAGCTGCCGCGGCTGCAAGGGCCGAACCCCTTGCACAAATTTCGTGCATTGGGACTCTAGTCTCAAAATAAGATGCAATGCAATGCTTATAATGACAATTTAATATACACTCTGAAAGTAATTGGCAATTCCCATAAAGACTGTCATTTTGGAAGCCATAGAAAAAAATGGCTTACAAAGTTCAGGACCAAATTCAAATTCTGCATATTTCTTTTTCTCTTAGACAACAGTAAAGCTATACCTTAATCCAAGCAAATGCACATGAACAAATTTTCTTTAGTCTCACAATTACTGAGTTTCCAAGTCTCCTCCACAAGTACTATCTTATTACTTTGTATTACTGCCCAAGGCTGACCCTAAAAGCTCAATTTACTAGAGTCATTAGAGGTGCCAGACAAATAAAACACTAGGTAATAATTTGCCAGTCTCCCTTCCTCCTCAGCTTCTAAAGTGAGGGGTCTCAAGGGGAGGTTTATTAGAATCATCTGGGAAGCTTTTCCAACCTACACTTATGTCCCATTCTCCTCGCCCTCTTGCAAAGCATTGTTTTAGCCAAGGACTTCATTCTGCCCCACATAAGTCTTTTTTTTTATTGATTTCAGAGAGGAAAGGAGAGAGAGATAGAAACATCAATGATGAGAGAGAGAATCATTGATCTGCTGCCTCCTGCATGCTCCTCACTGGGGATCAAGCCTGCAACCTTGGGCATGTGCCCTTGGCCGGAATCGAACCTGGGACCCTTTAGTCCAGGGGCCGACACTCTATCCACTGAGCCAAAGCGGCTAGGGCTGTCCATCTTTTTAAATCCAGCTCAATTTAAGATTGAGGGACTAAAAACAATTGAATTTGGAAGACTCTGGCTTTGTCACAACTGGTTGGGCAAGTCACTTAACCTTTCTGGTGTCAGTTTTTCCTTTGATTTTTGAGGTTCCCTTCCAACTTTGAAATTCTATGACAGCATATCGTATCTAAGAAGCTTTCTGAATTCCTAGCATAGAATGACTTGTCATTTCTTAGTTTTCTAACAGCCTATGCAATGTGACATCACCTAGTTATATACTGTCCTATATTGCCCTCTAGTTGTTTTTACATGAAAAAATTTTTTTTCAACTACATTTAGTTTAAAAGCTTATTTTCCAGGCCAGAAAATAAGCTTATTTTCTACTTATCTTAAATCTTCTAGGACAACTTGGGGTGTATCCTAAGGTAATCAGTATACTAGTATATTTATGATTTGTTCAAAACAATGACACCCCCCAATTATATTTTTACATCAGCACTGTCCAGTAGAAATATAATGTAAGCCACAAATGCGAGTCCAATATGTAAATTTAAGTTTTCTAGTAGGCACATGAAAAAAGTGAAAAGACACAAGTGAAATTAATTTTAATACATTTAACCCAATATATACAAAATAACTATTTCAACAACGTAGTCAGTGTAAAAATTATTGATATAGTCTTGTTTCGTAATAACTTTTCAAACTCCGGTGTCTGTTTCACATTTACAACACATCTCAATTAAAAATGGGCATATTTAAGTACTCAATAGCCCCATATGGCTAGTGGCTACGTATTGACACTGAGCACTTCATAAGTACTAACTGGGCTAGCCAGAGGGTTGCAAAAATTAATCAGACGCATTCTAGTAAGGGAGATACACAGATCTGTAGATGCACAGAACTGTGCTTGGTGGTGGGGGTGGGGATGTCAAGGAAGGTTTCACAGAGGAAAACTTTTTAAAGGCAGTGTGTGGGAGGAAGGGTGACCTGAGGCGGAAGTGGGCGGGAGAGGACTGGGTGGGAGGATCCCGGAGCTCCAGCTGTGGAGGCGCTACTTGCACTCGGCACTCAGGCGCCCAGACCTGCGGGCCACCGGGGCGGCACAGGGGCTGGAGCCCGGGCTGCCGCGGCCCCTCGCCTAGCGCGGTTAGGCGCGCGGCAGACCGGCTCCGGAAGCGCGCCGCTCGCGCTCAGTACTCAGCCTCGCCATAGCCGGGTCTCTGAGCCCACGGAGCTTCCCAGCTCAGCCTCCGCGAGGAGGAGCAAGCGGGAAAGGGGGCTGAGCGTTTTGCTCAAGCGCTTGTTTTTCTCCGAGGCCTCCTACAGGTAACGACGGCCTGGTCAAAAAAGCCAGTGGAAACGGTTGCCAGGGCCGGCTAACAGCTGCTTCCGGAGGTTCTCTGGCGCTTCGGCAACAATGGGGCCACTGGACCGAGGGAGCGCCCCTTCCGGTTTCGTAGCTTCTCACAGAGCTCCGTGGCGCGTCGCCTTTAACCCCGGAAGTGAAGTCTTCCGGGTTCCTCCCTCCCTCAAGATGGCAGCAGCCGAAGAAGACGAGTTACCGCTGCCACGGCTGCCCGAACTATTTGATATCAGCAGACGGCTTCTGGACGAAGTGGAAGTAGCGACCGAGCCCACCGGTTCCCGGGCAGTCCAAGAGAAGGTGTTGAAAGGACTCCAGCTCCTTAAGCAGGCCGCCGAAATGTTAGCGCAGCTCGACTTGTTCAGGTATGGGGAGAGGGTAATAGCTGACAACGTAGGTAATAATGGTTACCAAGGGTGGAGCCTTTGGGCCTGGGTGGAGGAGACTAAGACTAAGGGCCTTTCATGCCTGCCTCCCATTGTGATCTCGTGTATATTGTTTACATTCTCCACCTCTCTTCCCGAGTAGTCAATATCCCACGACTGTTACATAGTATCTGCTGTTGACGGGTGTGAGCGCTCAGCCACTAGGAAGAAACCAGGCCACTGTTCCCCTTGCCTCCACCCTTTGCCTCACTCCCACCCCAACGCGCCCCACCCCCCCAGGAAGCAAGGGCCACAGTTTTAATGCCCAACCAGGCTTCACAGCCTCTTCTTTGCTTTTTCCAGCCAAAATGAAGATTTGGAAGAGATTGCTTCCACCGACCTGAAGTACCTGATGGTGCCAGCATTTCAAGGAGCCCTCGCCATGAAACAAGGCAACCCCAGCAAGCGCTTAGATCATTTGCAATTGGCTCGAGAACACTTTTTAAACTACTTAACTCAGTGCCAGCACTATCATGTGGCAGAGTTTGAGTTGCCCAAAACCAAGAACAACTCAGCTGAAAATAACACAGCTAGTTCCTCCATGGCCCATCCTAGCCTCGTTGCTATGGCATCTCAAAGACAGGCTAAAATAGAGAGGTGGGTCAGTAGTTATAATTAGAAAACTGCCCAATGCCAAGTGCTGTATGTTTGGGGGGGGCGGGTGGACAATGATATATGTCACTCTTTTCATTTTTATTGAGCATAGGCCCTGGTGCTAGCAAACTCTACTGAGTTTTTCAAGAACCCTCTACCTTTGTTGAGATGATCATTCCTAACCATCAGACGCCTTATGGTTGCCAACAACAGCAATGTAGTTTAGCGGAATGTCTCCCAATCTCGCCCACATCACAACATGGTAATATTTGTATAGTACTGTGGGGCAAATATCTCTGAAGGGCACAATATCTTGTAGTTGTAGTCCATTTACAATCCATTGATTGAGAATCTCTGTTCTAACAGTATTGGATCAGGTGTGTAACATCCCGAACTAATCTTAGTCCTGGCATACCTTCATCGTGTAACCTTGAACAACTTACTTGCTCTCAGTTTAGTTTTTTTTTTTTTTAAATGTATTTAAAGAGTGCTCACAGTGTCTAGGAACTATGCTAGTCACTGGGGATACAAACTGAGTATGCCTGTTTCTGTGAGTATGGGTGGTGTCTGCCTTGGAGGAGCATACAGTCTGATGAGGGAAAAAAGGCATAGAAACAGTATCGATATAAAATGATGTGATAGAAAGATGTACAAGGTACTGTGAGAGCAGGCTAGAGAGGCACCTATCCAAAGAGGGAGCAGGAAAGAGGAGAAGGCTCCCTGGAAGAGGTAACTCTTATGATGAGTTGTTTAAGGATGAATAGGAATATTATGGCATTAGGCAGCACAGATAGCATTACTAAGATATAAGGGCATTAAAGAGCTGTGCTGAGGTGGAGATGTGTGGGTGGGGAATAACTATAAGCAGTTAGGTGATGTTAGAATGCAAAGAGGGTTGTGGAGAGGGGGAAAGAATGATACTCAAGAATGTTGTAGCATTCAGACCTAGGGGAGCTTGGGGTGTGAGGAAGGTGAAGGAATAACCTCAATGATTAACATAACAATAATGAGGGAATTTGTGGTCTTCCCCTAGTGCCATTTGTCATACCCTGAGGGGTCTAGACAAAGGGAAGTTACAAGTTACCCTGACATTCTACAGGTATGTTATCTGATTAAATGCAAAAAGACAAAAGGCTCAGTAAAAAGTTGATCTTTGTCAGGGAAGATACTGGCCTAGGACATGACTACCCACTATAAGCTGCTTTTTAATTAAGAGGTTTCATTTCAGACCATCCTTTGTGGTTACTTTAGGTCTCTTAGTTTGGAAGACTGCCATGCAGGCCTTCCCTGAGTTAGTCAAGTTAGTATGTGGCCCCTTTTCATCCACACAGCGTTGTGGAGAAAGAACAGTGCTCAGATCTGGTTGGAGGGATAGGGAAGGTTTCAGAAGGTAACAGCATTTGTGATAAGCCTTGAAGGATGGTTAAAAATAGAGATTACAGATTTTCCTGAATGTAAAAGTAATACCCATAATAGAAAGTTGGAAAAATAGAGAATATTTTTTGAATTAAAGTAATCCTTAATCTTAGCACTCAGAGATGATCTTTGTTAACTTTCTGAATGTTTCCTTTTAGATATGATGTAGTTATTTTAGTTAATAAATTTGGAATAATACTGTATATATAGTTTTTCATCTTTTTTAACCTAACATTATATTGTGAGCATTTCCCTGTGTCTTTTGAAACCATGGTATTTAATGGCTACATAACATTTCAGCCCATAGATACACCATAAGTATTTAAACTAATCTTTTATTGTCAAATACTTAGACTATTTATGGTTTGGGCTTTTATTTTTGCTATTCTAAATAATGTTAAGAACAAACATCTGTTTTTATTATTTTCTTTTATATGTTTTTATTGATTTTAGAGAAAGAGGAAGGGAGAGGGAGAGAAACATTGATGAGAGAAAGACATTGATCAGCTGCTTCTTGCATGTCCCCTACTGGGAATTAAGCCCAGAATCAAATCAGCAACTTCTTGGTGCATGAGTCAACACTCAAGCACTGAGCCATACTGTGCTGGAGATGGATACATCAATGATGAGAGAGAATCATTGATCAAAACATATATTTTTTTAAATTTTACTTTAATTTTTCCATCACCATGTATCTCCTCTATGCCCTCTTTCACCTCCACCCCCCACTCTATACCCCCTCACTCCCACATCCCCCTCTCCTGCCATCACCACACTGTTGTCCGTGTATATGAGTTCTCTCTCTTTTTTTCTTTTTTGCTTAAACAAACATCTTTAACTGCATCTGTCACTGTTTCCTTAGGATAGATTTCTAGAAGGACAAGTGACTAGATCAAAGGTTTTAAATACTTTAAGAATTTTTTAAAAATATTTTTTATTGATTTCAGAGAGGAAGGGAGAGGGAGATGGATACATCAATGATGAGAGAGAATCATTAATCAAATGCCTCCTGCATGCCCCACACTGGGGATCAAGCCTGAAACTTGGGTATTTGCCCTGACCAGGAATTGAACCACGACTTCCTGGTTCATAGGTCATGCGGGGGTATTTGAAGACTTGATGTTAACAGTGTGTTGCTTTCCACAATAACAAATTGCAGAATGTGTCCCACTGCACTGATCTTGGATGTTAACACTTGGAAAATCCATTTGGGCAAACAAAAGTATTTCATTGTTTTGATTTGCATTTCTTTGGCTAGAAAGCTTCATCTTTGAACATTTTCTTTACATGCCTGATAGATGAGATATCAGCATTTTCTTACTTTCAGACTCATACTTCCAACACCCTACATCAGTGATTTTCAACCTTTTTCATCTCATGGCATACGTAAAATAATTAGTAAAATTCTGCGGCACATCAAAAAATATACTTTTTGCCGATCTGACAAAAAAATAGGTCTAATTTTGATTTGTTCATACCAGGTGGCTATTGTTGTGTTGGCTGTTGTCTCATTTTTTTATTTGACAATCTAAGAGAAAAGAGGTCAGTGCTCCTGACTAAATCATCAGGTATTGCATGTTTTAAAAATTACTGTAGCACATCGGTTGAAAATCTCTGCCCTACATGGATGTTTCACAGACATCTCAAACTTAACATGCCCTTAATTGAACCCTTGGCTTTTTAACCTGCAATATCCCCCCACACCCAAGATTTCACCATCTTAATAGGTTTATCACCATTCACCAGGTGTTTAAGCCAGAAACCTAGAAGTTAGCCTCATTTCCTCCCTTCTGAATCTCCACATCTATTCACTCTTCAAGGCCTGCCAATTCTAGCTACAAAATGTATCTTACGTCCTTCTGCTTCTCTCCATCTCCATTATCTCATACCTTAGTCTAGACCACCAGTATCTCACCTGAAATAGCGAAACCACTAACTGCAAGGCCCTGCATGATCTGGTGCCTGCCTCTCTCCAATTTCATTGTGTATCACACTCCCTTTGCTCAGTAGCCTTTTCGTTCTTTGAACAGACCCAGCTCCTTCCTTCTAAAGCAGTGGTTCTCAACCTTCCTAATGCTGCGACCCTTTAATACAGTTCCTCATGTTGTGGTGACCCCCAATTTCATTGTTACAAATTGAACATAATTAAAGCATAGTGATTAATCACAAAAACAATATGTAATTATATATGTGTTTTCCGATGGTCTTAGGCTACCCCTGTGAAAGGGTCGTTCGTCCCCCAAAGGGGTCGTGACCCACAGGTTGAGAACCACAGTTCTAAAGAGTCTTTGTTCATGTTGTCTTTGCATGGAATGCTCTTCATTCATCTGTCTCCCCTGCTAGAATGTATGCTCCAGGAGGTCAAGGAGCTATTTCTCTTTTGTTCACTGCAGTATGTTGACCACAGGTTCTGGCATATAGAAGGTGCTCAAGAAATATTTATTGTTAACAAGTAGGAGGAACAACACGAGCAAAAGCCCAAGGCAGTTTGAGGTATGTACATGGAATGGAGAGTAGTCTGATTTGGCAGAAGCTCAGAGGTCTGAATAATGAAATGATGTGTATAGAATATTGAAAGGGAAGAGAGAGGCAGAAAGAAAAGTTAACATGCTGTAGTAGTACTTCAACTTGGAAGAGGTAATAAAAATGAAGTTACAACTATCAGAGACATTACTTTTGCAATAGAAAAGTTATTGTTCAGATCCTTAGTTACTTTTTGTAGGTCCTCCCTCCCCCACCCCACAACTTTACATACTGAGGCCATGCTACATAAAGCACCTCTCTCTCTCAAAACCTGTTTCTTCACGTATTCTCTCCTACTCTAATTCCCATCTTTGAGGAGTAAGTGTAAGTCTGATTGATTGACTGCACCTCCATTCTTTTGATAGAAACAGAAGAGTAGAAGCTAGGTAAGCAATAAATCTAATTTTAGATTTATTGAATTTAGTTCCAAAAGTGACAACTGGATAACCATCTCCATAGACAGATGGAAATGTGTAACTAAAACATGTGAGGCAATTTTGTTACTAGTGCTAAAAATTTAGGCACTTTGGTGGGTTTGTATAGTTTGCCAAGGAATAACATGTAGAGGGGGGAAAAAAAGCCAAGGATAAAACCTTGAGGACAAGTTAAGGGAGAAGGAAGAGAAATGAAAGAGCAACCAGAAGTAAGTAAGAGACTCAACAAGGTACAGATAGAATTACTTGTAGAAGCCTGGGCAAGAGAGAGCAAACGTCATGTCCTCTTGAAGCTTCTCCCTACCTATCACCACCCTCCTCCCCCATATTGTAACACTTAGTTTATGGTTCTTATAATAACTATATTATTCTCTAGACTTGAAATTCCTAAATGTCAGAGGCTGACTAATTGTATCTTTAGTATCCCAATTGTATCACTGTATTCTTGGTGCCCAGTAATTGGATTATAGTAGGTAGTTGAGTTGTCTTTGGGAGAGACAGAGTGGTCTTTAGGAAGATGGAAGCAATGTGGTATAGCAGAAAAAGCTTGGGCTTTTTAGTCAGACAAACCTGGGGTGACCAATTTCTACCACTTAATTGATGGGGCATCATCTAGCCCTTCCTAGATTC